TATCCAGTTCCTTACTGAGCACTCTTGCCAACCCAGCTTCTTTAACCGTGACTCCTTCTGTGGCCAGAGACAATGGGTTGGACACATTTATTAACCCTAATGTTCATGCCCTCTCTCCAGCCCACCTGGCCAGCGTGGCATAGTGCCCACACTTAATGACTTTCCATTGATCTTGGTGGTTGGCACAGTCAACGCTGAATTTCTTTTCTCTTGTAAAATATTTGTTTTTAATGTTTCCCCCTTTTTTATTGTAGTAAATCGGTGGACGTGGTATAGAAAGAGTAACCAAGCTGATCATGTAATTCGGGACCATCAGACCTTTGGACCAAACCCAAGAAGGGGTTTCAAAAACAAATGAAAGTTACAGCAGAGCGCTCCCCTTCCCGCGCTTGCTGATGGGATCCCATAGCAATGAAAAAGCCAGGAGGGGTGTTGCTCAGCATGGGTGGGATCTGATGGGTGCCGTCAATGCTTCACCCGGGGACCTTTGGAAAGTGTAAACGTCATTTGCTGAGCAGGGTTAGGAGAAGTTGCGGGCAGGCCTGGGCAATGCTCCATGAACTAGATCCTGACAGGGTGGTGGGGAGCTGACTGAAAGCCACTTGCATCCAAAAGCTGCAGAAGATTGCGCAGGAAATGTTGGCGCATGTGCACGTGGAGGACTGGCATGGGCAGTGTGTAGGCCGGGGGTTGCCGGAACCTTCTTTTGCGCCACAAGTTAGATCCTGGCAGGGAGGGAGAGTGGTTGTGTGTGCCGGCGATGCCTTGCGAGGGAGGGGCACTCGAGCAGAGCCTGCGTCTGGCCTCGCTGGATGTACTTCAGCTTTCAAAACCGGGTCCTTCTGCTGCTAGAACGTGATGGAAATGAAAGGAGACTTGTTCTGAAGGCACCTGTCAGGGCTGTCTCCCATCAATTGAAGGGCTGAATGACGAGCTAGTTGCAGGTCTGGAGGAGGCGCAGTCGCTAAGGCACAGTGCCACACAAAACTGGAGTGTGCATCAGGCATGGAGCAGACAGAGGACTATAGGAAAGTTCTGACCAGGAGATGTGAAAGAGTAGGGATGGTTCTCCATCTATCCAGTTCCTTACTGAGCACTCTTGCCAACCCAGCTTCTTTAACCGTGACTCCTTCTGTGGCCAGAGACAATGGGTTGGACACATTTATTAACCCTAATGTTCATGCCCTCTCTCCAGCCCACCTGGCCAGCGTGGCATAGTGCCCACACTTAATGACTTTCCATTGATCTTGGTGGTTGGCACAGTCAACGCTGAATTTCTTTTCTCTTGTAAAATATTTGTTTTTAATGTTTCCCCCTTTTTTATTGTAGTAAATCGGTGGACGTGGTATAGAAAGAGTAACCAAGCTGATCATGTAATTCGGGACCATCAGACCTTTGGACCAAACCCAAGAAGGGGTTTCAAAAACAAATGAAAGTTACAGCAGAGCGCTCCCCTTCCCGCGCTTGCTGATGGGATCCCATAGCAATGAAAAAGCCAGGAGGGGTGTTGCTCAGCATGGGTGGGATCTGATGGGTGCCGTCAATGCTTCACCCGGGGACCTTTGGAAAGTGTAAACGTCATTTGCTGAGCAGGGTTAGGAGAAGTTGCGGGCAGGCCTGGGCAATGCTCCATGAACTAGATCCTGACAGGGTGGTGGGGAGCTGACTGAAAGCCACTTGCATCCAAAAGCTGCAGAAGATTGCGCAGGAAATGTTGGCGCATGTGCACGTGGAGGACTGGCATGGGCAGTGTGTAGGCCGGGGGTTGCCGGAACCTTCTTTTGCGCCACAAGTTAGATCCTGGCAGGGAGGGAGAGTGGTTGTGTGTGCCGGCGATGCCTTGCGAGGGAGGGGCACTCGAGCAGAGCCTGCGTCTGGCCTCGCTGGATGTACTTCAGCTTTCAAAACCGGGTCCTTCTGCTGCTAGAACGTGATGGAAATGAAAGGAGACTTGTTCTGAAGGCACCTGTCAGGGCTGTCTCCCATCAATTGAAGGGCTGAATGACGAGCTAGTTGCAGGTCTGGAGGAGGCGCAGTCGCTAAGGCACAGTGCCACACAAAACTGGAGTGTGCATCAGGCATGGAGCAGACAGAGGACTATAGGAAAGTTCTGACCACAAGTTTGTTTCCAACTGACCAGAGACAGAGAGGCATAAACCCACAGAATGTAGCTATTTGTGCTGTACTATAGAGAGGAAGAAAGACTCTTGTGTCCTCATCCACACAATTCTTTATTTCCCAGCCTACCAGGAGAAGTACTTGTCCCTCACCTTAAGTCTCTCTTCCTTTTCACCAGCATCTGGTCCCTTCTCTTCACATGTCTGTGATTATTTGAAAGGTGGATTCTCTCTAGGCCGCCGACTGTTTGGGTTTTTTTCAGATTTGCCTCCCACTTTTCTGTAGCATACAGCACTCTTTTCCTCTATCCCAATCCATGATCCTGCTCAGTTCAATGTTCAGCTAAACCCTCTTACGTCTGAGTCATGAACCACACGGGGTTCATTCAATGTATTTATAGGGTGTGGTCACAACCCTTACCCATCCCAATAAAATGCTGTAGCAGATCCCTGGCCATTTAGACTTTCTTCACCGTCTAGCTGCATTTAAATGTCTCTCCTGCAAGAGTACACTTGCTGTTTGCTCATCACTCAGTAGAGGATGGGGAAAGCTGCCACTCAAGTAATCTGTCTTGTGCCTTTCCTTTAAATGATGCACAGATTTATGTGCCAGCCAGTGACTGATTTGAAAGGCCCAACGTTCACTGGATTGGCAGCACATGGTGCATGCAGGGTCAGCCATATACAGCTTTCCGGTGTCTGTATTAGACATTCCTTCAGTGGAGTTGAGAGAAGTGTGAGGATGTTGTTTCTGCCTCCCAGGGGCAGATGATTAAAAGGTAGATGAGAGGGCAGACTTGTTCCTAGAATCATAGAATCCCAGGGCTGGAAGAGACCTCAGGAGTCATCAAGTCCAGCCCCCTGCCCAAAGCAGGACCAACCCCAACGAAATCATTCCAGCCATTCTCTGCATCCTTCAGCTCCTTCTTTTGGCATTTCCCTCAAACCATCCATCCTGGTCTTTACATCTGACCCCTCATCTTCTGGGCAGTCTCAGGCTTTCTGGTGCCTTGCTTTTGGCTGCATTTTATTGTTAACCTACAAAGTTGCCAACTACTATGGACCCAGCAGGCCACACAGGCAAGCTGCCAGTTCTTAGTCAAAGCAGATTTTTGCTTCATGTGTTGCTTTGTATTTCATCAGACCCCATCCCTGGCTTTCATCCAGCCCACACTTCTTCACTGGGGTTTGTTGTTCCAAATGCCTCAAAGCATTTTAACACGCTAGACTCATCTCTCTTCTTTATATACGCACACTGCTGTTCAGTAGCTGGGACACTGACAATCACACTCAGAGAATCCTCTGCAGTGATGGTTACTGAAAATCCAAATCCCTCCTTCGCTCGTCCAACTCTTCCATGAATAAAACGGTGATTCCAGAGCCACCCCTCTGACTACAGGAGGATTTCCAAGGAGAATAGAACTTTCGTGAGGTCTGGCACTAAAAACATGCATTTCACAATGCCATTTCCAAGGCTAAAGACAGCCTATAGAGCAGGCATTGATGAAGACGGGAACACTGGCTTCTTAGTGCTTACTGGAAACCTGAGATATGTTAGACAAGAGGTGTTGTCTGAAGCCAGCATGGTAGGAAAGGAAAATGAAGAGTTATGTGATTTTTTGGTTTGGATCTAAAATGAAGAAATGACTTTTGAGTTCCACATCTGGCTTGAAGGTCCCTTCCAATAACTATAATAATATTAACACCCCCACTCCAAAGGAACATCTGGAAACTCAAAGCAAATGCTAGGTGTTTCTATGAGCTAGCCGATGGGGTAAAACATCCATTTTATCCTACTCCAGTACTGCATGGTTACCTGTAGTTTTTGAACAGACATCAGTAAGTCCTGCTGCAGCAATAGGACACGTGCTTTTGGAGAAGATTTTATTGCATGCCACGAGCTGCATTCATCAGCAAAAATATTGACAGCTGAGTGATTATAAGCACCCAAGAAAGCCTGCCATGCCCTAGGAATGAACAATGGTATGTCTTGGTGCTTTTAGGAAATGGACTGTACAAATGAAAAATGTTAGTTACCTGCATTAACTGAGCATTGTTATCACTGGCAACCAATCAAAAAGCCTCGTTATATCCCAAATCCTAAAAGCTCTTTTATACTTCAACTAATTAAAGCCATTTTTGACCAAATTGATTTCTTGTCACCTGCTACACAGTACAACCAGCAGGTAAGACCCAGCCTGTAACAAGAAACATCTGGCCCCGATCCTGCCCACAAAAAGGTGCACTTCCACTTTTCCCCACCTCGTTCTGTTTCTGCGTGCATAAATACAAAAGCAACAGACACACAACAGCTCCCAGTCTGCCAGGTGACCCTCAACTGCAGACCTCGTTTTGTTTCTGCGTGCATAAATACAAAAGCAACAGACACAACAGCTCCCAGTCTGCTAGGTGATCCTCAACTGCCTAAGCAGGTTCCAGCAGTGGGTATGTTGTTAACAGACAACTTCAGTTAAGCTAAGAGCCAGAGTGCAGGAGCCTACAATAAAAGTCTTAAAAAGAGGGAGCATTATAGAATTCTGTTTCAAATCACCTTCACCAGAAAGTCCACAAGCATCCTGGCTGCTGCTGTAAATAGAATTGTTAGAGGAATGTGAAAAATGCCCCAAACGAATAGCTATTCTCTGACTCTCCTCCTGAGGTCGCACTTATGTACATTAGTTGGAAATTTGGTCATGTGCTGTATGTTTATAGAAAGTTGAGTTTTTTTATATACTAAAAACACAGTGAGTGCCGTGCTAGTTTAAAAAAAATGGGGCAAACTGTAGAAATTTACATATTGTGTCTTTTCAAAATACATTCCAGAATCTTTGGGGTGGGATGGGCTTGCTTTGGGGGGGGGTT